TGCCTTCCTTCTTCACTATCCCGCCTGTAGAGCCTATAGCCCGTAATGCTCACTGCCCAGTCGTGGGCAGTTAGAGATCAGAAGGCAATATTTTACAGTTAGGGTGGCCAAAATCTGGAACCAACTTCCCAGGGAAGTGGTCCTTGCCCCTACCTTGGGCAAATTCAAGAGGAGGTTGGACGATCACCTGTCTGGGGTCTTGTGAACCCAGCATTCATTCTTGCTGTGGCAGGGGGTCAGGCTAGATGATCTGTTCAGGTCCCTCCTGACCCTAGCTACTATGAAACTATGTAGTTCAGTTTGCATAGATACAAACTCATTTAGAACCCCCAAAACTCGGGTACATGTAATGTGTGATGCCATTAAGCCACACAAAGGGAAATTTTCATCACGTGTACATTATGACATTATCAAGTGGACTATAGACAGGCACAGGAGGGACACCAGCCCACCAACTGTTAGCGCCAACCTCGTGAAGGGACACTTGGAGGGGCTGGATGTGTTTAAGTCAGCAGGCCCGGATGATCTTCATCCATAGGTGCTGAAGGAATTGGCCAGGGTCATAGCAGAGCCACTGCCATGGCTGTTTGAGCACTCGTGGCACTCAGAGCAGGTCTCAGAGCACCGGAGAAGGGCCAATGTGGTCCCTATTTTCAAAAGGGGGAGGAAGGAGGATCTGGGTAATTATAGACTGGTTAGTCTCACCTCTATCCTTGGAAAAAGCTTTGAAAAAATTATTACAGCTCACATTTGTGGGAGTCCAGCAGTAAAAATAATACTGAAAGGCAACCAGCATGGGTTCATAGCAGGGAGATCCTGCCTGAGAAACCTTGTTTCTTTTTACGACAAGGTCACAAATTGCTTAGATGCAGGAGTCGAGATAGCTGTAATATACTTGGACTTTTTAAAAATCTTTGATACAGTGTCTCATCCCATTCTCATAAATAAACTAAGTGGCTGTGACGTAGATGATTACAGGGCCAGGTGGGTGGCAAATTGGCTTAAGGGATGCACTGAGAGAGTGGTGGTGGATGGGTCGGTATCGACCTGGAAAGATGTGGGCAGTCGAGTCCCACAGGGATCGGTCCTTGGACCAGTGCTATTTAATATCTTCATCAACAACTTGGACGAGGGTATGGAAAGCACTCCGTCCAAATTTGCAGATGACACCACATTATGGGGCAAAGTAAACACGCTAGTGGGCAGGGAATGGATTCAGGTGGATTTGGACAGGCTGGAAAAGTGGGCAGAACAGAATAGGATGCAGTTTAACAAAGATAAGTGCGAAGTGCTGCACCTGGGGAGAAGGAATCACCAGCACACTTACAGATTAGGAGACTTCCTAAGCAGCACAGCAGCAGGAAGAGATCTCGGAGTCATAGTTGATTCAAAGATAAACATGAGTCAAAAATGTGACAGTGATCAATAGAGCTAACCGCACTCTATCATGCATTAACAGGGGCATCACGAACAGGTCCAGGGAGGTGACACTTCCCCTCTATGCGGCACTGGTCAGGCCACAGTCGGAGTACTGTGTCCAGTTTTGGGTGCCGCACTTCAAGAGGGACGTGAATAACCTTGAGAGGGATCAGAGGAGGGCCACTCGTATGGTTAGGGGCCTGTGGGTAAGGTCATATAAGGAGAGATTGAGGGACCTGGATCTCTAGTCTCTGCAAGAGAAGGCTGAGAGGTGATCTTGTGGCCATCTACAAATTCATCGGGAGGTGTGGGTGGGCAGCAAGGAATAGGAGATACTCTATTTATCAGGGTGCCCCTAGGGGTAACTAATAACAATGGCCACAAACTGCCACAGAGCAGGTTTAGAGGAGTCATCAGGAAGAACTTCTTTACGGTGAGGGTTACCAGAATCTGGAACGGGCTCCCAACGGAGGTGGTGCTCTCCCCTACCCTGGGGGTCTTTAAGAGGAGACTGGAGAAGCAACTGGCTGGGGTCACTTGACCCCAGTGCTCTGTCCTGCCCAAGGGAGGAGGTCTGACTCGACAATCTACTGAGGTCCCTTCCAACCCTAACATCTATGAAATCTATGACGTGTACGAGCGCCCTAAAAGAACAGGCACCCACTTCAGTCACTGTGGAGGCCAAAGCAGCACCACGCAGATCAAACACACTATGCTGAGCACACCACAGAGACAGATTGAACGATGTTAACGTTAGTGATCGAACGTTGTTTCTGTATAAAAAAAAATGATGTATTAAAGTTGTGTTATAGTTAGAAACCTAGATGTTTAAAGAGGGGTGATGTGGGAATAGTACATGGTCTCTTCAAGGGAACAGCTACTGGAAACAGAAACACTAGAGCTCATGTTGTTTTGTGATTCAGAGCTGGTGGAGACCAGCTGGGAGTGGAGGGAGCTGCTGGTAGAGTTGCCTGCAAAACATTGCTAGAGCTTTTCATGAAGATAAAAAATAAGATTTGCTTTTATCAAGAAGGTGGCTGGGGCTCCCGGGGCAGGGCAGGTGGGCCTGTACCTGGAGCACGAGGCGCTGCACGGAGCGGGCCCCCGGCCCCAGCGCGAAGGGCAGCTCGGCGGAGCAGGGCCCTCGCGTGTCCTTCTCATTGAGCAGCTGCAGCGTCCCGGCCAGGCCGCCCGGCGCCCCCTCGGCCTGCAGCACCACGGCCGCCGCCGCACCGATGCCGGCCCCACCAGCACCAGCCTAAGGGCCGCCCCCCTCATCAGTGCCAAGTGCAGCCTGCAGCCCTCACTCCCAGCCCCGCTGGGGCCCCTCGCTCCCAGCCCACAGCCCCCATCCCTGCTGCTCTTCCACACCCCCGACCCACACCCCCAGTACCCCTTATCTCCCAACCCGCACCACCGTCCCCCCACACACCCTGCCGGAGCCCCTTTCCCAACCCACAGCCCCAGCCCTGCCAGAACGCCTCACTCCTGACCCACAGCCTCCGCCCTCACCTCCCAACCTGCAGCCCCCTGACCCCACAGCCCTGTGGGTGCCCCTTAATCCAGATCCACAGCAACCCCGCCCAGCACCGCCGGTGCCCCACACTGCCGCCCCACAGCCCGGGAGCACTTGGGGGCCTGGAGGCCACGAGGGCTCCCAGGCAGATCAGGCCCAGCAGGGGCCCCATGTTGCAGCCGCCCTGAGGGTGCGTCTCCTCCACTCTGCCCTCCCCTCCCCGCGGCTCTGGCTGATCCACAGAGACAGTTTTGGGGGGGGGCGGGGTCTGGAGGCCTATGAATCATTAATGTACCAAGGCCCTGGGCTCAGGCCAGCATTGTGGGGGTGGGGGGATTTCCCAGGGTCTGGCCAGATGGGAGGATAGGGGGCAGGGCAGGAGTGAGGGGCAGTGGGAGGC